AGTCATATAGTCATCTAGAGGAACTATATAATAAGAGAATATAATACTGAGCTGTGAACATACAATACAGTATACATCTCTACTTCCAAAGCAAAGATGGACTCCCAGTGAAACTGCTAAATATATCTTGACAATAGAATTCTAGACTTTCTGCTATTTTCTAGGCCTGTAATACCAGGATACACATAAGTAGCATGATGATGGACTTATGACTATTTTTGAAGGACTATACTATTGTAGTATAGGGGAATTGTAGTATATTGTAGTATATAGTATAGGGGAAATCAGTTGGGGGGAGAAAAGCTGGTGGGGGAGGGGAAATCCTATAGTCTATGGAACTATATCATAAAATAATTTTTAAAAAGAAACATGTTCTTTGATTTCCAATACTTGGAGATATTCTAGATATCCCTCTATTGTTGATTCTTGGTATGAATTTATTGTAGACCAAGACCACATTGTATATGATTTGAATTAAGGTTTTCATGGCTTAAAATATGATAAATCTTGGAAATGCTCCTATTGTGCATAAATAGCATGGGGTATACTGATATGGATGGCATATTCATTCATGTCAACCAGAAGAAACTGGTTTGCATTGATGCTGAACCAGTTTGTTTTATGCTTATTTTCTGCTTATTCTTTTTATCAGTTTTCTCAGTTATGCAAAAAGGTTATGTAAATCTCCATAGTGTAAATTTAGATTAGCCTGTTTCTTTTGGTAGCTCTTTAGTGTGTTTGCCTCATGAGTTTTGAAGTTTAGTTCTTGAATGCAAAGTTGTGTAGAGTTTTATGAACTTTTTGATCAATTGACCCCTTGACGGAGATGAAATCACTATTTGTAATTGGCATATCTGAAATATGCCTGTTGGCTATTGATTTAGCTGCTATAATGTTTGCACTATTGCTTGCTCACTCATTTTTTGTTTCCTTTTCTTTCTTTTTTTTTTTTTACCATGGCTATCTTTTAATTAATGTTGACACATTCTACCTTTTTCATACTTGCACTTATATTTATTTTTAAAGCTTTATTGTATTTGAAAGGCAAAGAAAACAGAGAGATAAATCTTCCGTTGTCTGTTTCACTTCCAGTAATTCTACAACAACTGAAACTAGGCTTGGCCAAAGAAAATAGCTGAGAACTCCATCTTGGTCAACACTTGAGAGGCATGGACTAAAGTGTTTCAGCCATTATTGGTGGCCTTCCCAAATACATTAGCAGGGAGTTGGATCAGAACACAGAGATGGGACTCAATCTTGGGACTCTGATATGGGAAACAGGTGTACCTAGGACTGTTTAAAACCCTGTGTCATGAACATACCCCTTGTTCTTTTATATTTTAAAAAGGTTTTTTTTTAATAGTGATTAAAGCATTGAATTTGAGATATATGAAATATTTTATCTTTATATTATATGTTTTTGGAAAAGAATATTTTGGTAATATTTAATTTTAAATTAGTTGTTAAAATGGCTCTTTTTTTAAAAAAAGGATTTATTTATTTTTATTGGAAAGTTACATTTACAGTCAGGAGGAGAGACAGAGAGGAAGATCTTCAATCTGTTGATTCACTTCCCAAGAGGCTGCAGTGGCCAGAGCTGAGCCAGTATGAAGCCAGAAGCCCCAAGCCTCCTCCAGGTCTCCCTTGCAGATGCAGGCTCTCAAAGCCTTGGGGTGTCCTCCATTGCTCTCCCAGGCCGTATTAGGGAGCTGGATGGGAAATGTGGCCTCCAGGATTAGAACCGGCACCCATATGGGATCCTGGCATGTGCAAGGCAAGGATTTCAGCTGCTAGGTTACTATGCCTGGCCCTAAATCAGTCTTTTTACTTAATGTTATTACTGATGTAGTCAAGCTTAATCCTGCCACTTTGTTATGTTTTCATCCCATCTTATCCTTGCCACACTTCCATATTTCTCTGCCTGCATGAGTAATTTTTATTCATTTAACCTATTTTGTTAGCTTGTCATCATCTATAACTTTTATATTTTAATGGTTGTGTTAGATTTGACTATACGTTTTCGCCATTGTATTTCTGTAATATTGTATTAATTCATGTTATAGTGTCAACATCTAAGAATTGCATTCTATTCTCATCTTACTACTTTTTGTGTTGTTGTTATTATAATTCATGTTATTTCTGAAGATGTCATAAACCTCACGATATGTTGTTACTGCAGGTACTTCATGACTTTTATAGGGAAAATGAATCATAAGTAGAAAACATTTAAATCAAAATGCATTTGATGCATCTAATTTTCTAGACATCATAACTGCAACACAGTGCTCCATAGAGAATCAGTTGTTTGCACTTGTGAATAATCACATGACTGATTGGAAGCCTTGGCATTCCTCTGCTCAGCATCATAAAAATATCAACTGTGCAACTAGCTCAGGAAAATACCAGCATTTGAAATTTGAAGCACATTTTCTATTGATCACAATAGTGGTCCTCATATTTCCCCACAGGAAGTTTGCTTTGGTGTAAATCAACTCTGTCTAGCATAGCCATATAGAACTTGGTGGATGGCTCCTGGGTCCCTCCCATCTTGAGAGAGGGCTTTCCATCTCTTTGTTGAGATTTCTGAGACACTTGTAAATCCCAGAATTTTAGGTAGCCCTGAGTTGTATTTGAATTTCTGATGAAGAACCAGGTGTGTCCAATAATAGTTACTACACAACAATATAGGTCTTTCATCAGCAGTAGGAATGATTAATATTATTACATCTTGTGTCTTGAAGTTATAGCTTTTTAATAATACATAATGAAAACAAATGCATAAGCACACTTTATCATATCAAAGGGAATAGACAAAAGACTTGACATTAATGAAGTGGAAATGTATGACATGAAAAAGTATTGGGAAAAATTAGCCTAGAATGAAACTCAGTAGAGTCAGAAATCGTGTAGCACCAACTAAGAGACGTGGAGTCTAGCCTTCTAAACTGTCAGAATGCAAAAGCTCATTATTTAAATCACACTGTTGTGTTGTTAGAACAGCCTAAGCTTTGGAAGAGTTCAAATCAACAGCTTAACTTAGACCTCAAAGAATTAGACAAAGAAAAAGCCAGAATGAAAGATAGCAGAAAGAAGGATATGAAATTAAAAGTGTCAATGTAAAAGACAAATGAAAAAAATCAGATAAATTTCAGAAAGATTAACAAATGTAAAAGGATTTTTCTAGACCATGTAAGATGAGAAACTAAAACCTTCTAAAATATGAAGAGAAAAACAGTATATATGAAATGATATTAAAGAATATGAAGATGATTTATGAACAAGTTGTGAACACTGCAAAGCCTGTCTCGCATGAAGTCAGGCTGAGTGTGCTCCCTGATGGAGAATTTCCAAGTGCTTTCATTATCTCCACATAAACATCACAATGAATGAGAAAGGCATTAACAGCCCTGTTAGGCAGCCTTGTCATTTGTCCTCCTGTGAGATGGGTGCGCAGCTATAACCAGTTGATTGAAAAACAGACTGAGGCAGATCAGGCCCTTTTTCAGGAGCTGGTCCAGATAGAGCAGCCTGGCTGAGGCCCCTGACCAGCTCCACTGACCTTAGAAAGGCACATTCAGAAATCAGGAGAACTCAGCCCTAGTGAAGCTCAGAGTGCTAAAAAGAGTTCTACCTTGGCAAATCTTCCAGGTGACAGAAAGGCACATCCTTTTCCATTTGGTGACCAGTAAAGGTGCTATCGTTGTCAGCTCACCTTTGTCTAGGTGCTGCATATTCTGATTCCACGATTTTTCACTTGTCAAAATCAACACTCAGAAAGGGCAAGTCCTAGAAAGAACAGTGCCTCAAACATTATGTCCTCTTTCAAAGAAACAAAAAGAAGCTTCCTGATATGCTGATGGAACACATGGCTTAATCAAAAAGCAGTTTCAACACAGGGACACCATTCCCTGCAATTCTATACTTCCTGCTACCAATTCTGCTTATATTTTCCCTCTTTTTTGGCAATCAAAGCTACACCAAACCTCGGTGGTCGGACATCTTTTTTCCAACCAAAAGAGGTATGGAAAATATGTTTAAGGACAACATTATTCAAGTTTTCAGCTAATAAGTGCTGATTTTCTGAGTATTCTTTTTGCATACTTTTGTGCATGGTTAAAAAAAAGAGGACATGGAAAGGATATGACTAGCTAATCAGCACTACTAGATCAGGAGAGTTCTTTAGACAGACAGAGCCTGAGTCCAAATGATCTAATGTAGCCTGAAGATTCACAGTAGTGTCTCCTCCTCTCTTGTCAAGGCAGAGCATGAGGCATAGAAGAAAAAAAGGGGAGAGGGAGGTAACGATGGAGACAGAGCAACAGAGATGCTGTTTAACCGACTGTTTGCATGGACACTCAGGCAAAGCACGTCCTAAGATGTGTGTCAAAAGCATATAGTATAGTGATGTGGGATGGCATGTTGTGTTCCTGTGAAGCAGAATCTATCGAAGTGCATGTTTGTTCAAGTCTTCAGTGGATTGGTGCTGATTTTCTGAGTGTTCTTTTGGTTCTTTTTGTGCATGGTTGAGAACCCAGGGTATGCAAAGAGTCAAAGAAGAACTCGGCCGTGGGGGGCACTGCGCACTGCTGTGTGTCCCTGTGCAGGACAGGCTTTGTGAAGAGAGCAGGAGAAAGAGAAGCATGAAGTGGAGGGGAGGAAAGGCCTTGGCTGGCCGCATGTGCAACCAGCAGCTGGGAGTCCTGATCCATGTTTCCTCACTTGTTCAGTGTACTGAAGCCAGAACAGAAGAGAGCATTTTCTAGTTCTGTTTCTTTATTGAAGCAAACAGTGTCCCTCAGAAAAGGTCCCCACCCCACCCTCTAGATCCCTCCACCTGGGAAGCCCACCCCCCTCCACCTGGGAAGCCCACCCCCCTCCCTCCCTGGGCACAATGGGTTTGAACAACAAGAGTGGCGGTGGTGCAAGAGACAAGGATCCATGTCCTTTTGGCCGGCACGTAGTGGGGCAGCTTCCCAGAGGCCACAGGCTCACGCCTGGCCTCAGTATCGCATCTTTTTGTTTATATCGCCCCAGGAGTCAGCCTTCCTCTTGTGAGCCTGGCAGTGTGGCACAGACTCCAGAGCTGGGGCCTGTTCTGCAGAGGCCTTGGAGCCAGCCCTCGGGCAAGGCTTGTTTAGTCTAGGGCCTGGGTCCGCTAGAAGAGCCTGCTTCTTGCTATTGGTAGCAGGTGGTGGAGGACCAGTGAAGGCCCTTCCAAGATTGGAGGTGGGCTTGTGTGCTCTGCCTGGTTTCCCAGGTGCAGGACAAGGCAGGTCCTCAGCAGAGACCTGGCTCTGGGCAAGTCTCAAGGGCAGCAGATGGTGCTGTGAATCAAGGAAGAAGGCCAGGCTGGGCAGTTCCTCGTCGTCCTCACCAGTCAGATCCACGACTGGTGGTGGCTCCTCCACAGAGCATTGTCCTTGTGAAGCCCTGGCTGCCTTGGGCACCTGTGTGGAAGGGGCTCTGGGAGAAGTGGGCCTAATGTCCCCCAGTAAAGGACATGTCTTGTCCCCAGAGAAGCCAGCATTGTCTTTGTGCATGGACAGGCGGGTGTCTGGGACCACGCATCTCTCAGGCTTCCAGCAAGACATGCTTTGGGCGGAGGTCTCCGCACTGAGCCCAGGGCTGGGAGCACGGTCATCTCTCTGTGTGCCTTGCAGGGCTCTGGAATCCGAAGTACTGGCTTCCAGTAGGGGTGTCGCAGGCCTGGGTTTTTCCCGCATGGTGCCATCCGTCTTCAAGGGCCAGAGGTTCTTGTCCACCACCTGCAGGAGGAAAGAGGCACTGAGTGGCTCTGCAGCTGGTGTCAGAAGGACCATGGGGTCCAGAGCAGTGGCCAGGGGAGGAGGGAGGCAGGCCAGAGTCGCTGGGCTTTCTTTGTAGAAGGAGGCAGCTGCTCTGCTGTCATCGTGCTGGGGCTGGTTGCAGTTCTGCACACTCACCTGACCCTGGTTCTCCTGGCTCCTTGCTATATGTGTGTACCTGCACCACACTGGAAGCAGTTCCTTTGCAAGTCCCGCATGGCCAGCATGTCGGGGGAGACAGGCTCTCGGGGCCTACTGTGCTGGAGACCCACTTGCACACAGTTGACCTAGTTGCAGGCCTCGCCCAAATGTAGCTGCTCTTCCACAGCGCCCCTCTTCTGTTTTCCTGGTGCGTATCCCTGCCCTGTCTGCATGCTGCGCCTTGCTGCCCTTCCCTGCTTGAGGTTCCTTCCTCCCTCCCTCCTTCACCTGGTCAGGGTTCAGCCCTTCCTCCTTGTCCTTGTCCAGCTCTTCGGCTAGGGCCATGAGATCCAGCTGTGGATTTGGTGAAAGGAGCTCTTCCAGGAATCGTGGATGGATGATGGTCTCCACCTAGCAGAGAAGGAAGAGGTTTCTCTCATTCTTTCCAGAAGTCACCAAACTATGGGACTTGAAGGAGAAGCAGAAAGCAGTGAGCAGCAGAGCGCCATGCCCAGCTTGGGATGCCCAGTCGGCAGGGCTGCCAGCTACTCACGCACACTGGTACACCCAGGGGCAGTAGCTAGGGAAGTGAGCTTGATCCAGGGGCATGAGATGGTCACGGCCCAGATTGGACAAATCGTAGAGTGGCACAGCCCACCTTGGTGACAAAGTCATCTTGGGAGCACAGCTGGTCAAGGTAACTCAGGAGCTCTGGGTCGGGGCCCAGTCCCTCCTGCTGGGGCTGCAGCATGCCGTCCTCTTCTGGCTGTTCACTGGGCTGGCCCGAGGCAGAGGGCCCCAGCTCCAGCAGTGCATCCATGATGTCCATGTACTCGCTCACGGCCTCTGGAGGGATCTCCTTGGGTGTCCTTTCCCGAGAGGCCTGGTGTCTTTGTGGCAAGGGTTTGTTGGGCAGAGCTTTGGAGCTGTTCTTCCTGCGGGCATGCTCTATGGGAGGAAAGAGGCGAGTGAGGTTCAGGGGCTCGAGCTCCGCATCAGCCACATTGCAGAGGGCGGTTGTTGGGCATGTGAGCTGGTGGGGCTGGTCTAGCACAAGCTGCCGACGGCACCTGGAGTGGGCTGAGGTGGAACGTGTGAGGCACTCACTGACATGCCCCGTGGTCTGCCGCCAAGCCCATGTCCTCTGCAGAAGGTGAGGATGTGTGTGGTGTCCCTAGACAGAGGCACTGCCGGCGTGGTCAGACAGCTACTACCGAGTTGTGACCCAAGGCTCAGGCAACGTGGGCTGTCAGGGGCACATGCTGAACAAGAAGACACAAGTGCTGCTCTTGCAGGAAAAGGTCCGGAGGATGGGTTAGTCACACCCAGAGAACCTTGTCCTGTGCAGTGTTGTGTGTGGTGGCAGGGGAAGCTCACTGTACCTGGTTGCTGGAGGGCCACAGGGCTTGGGGGCCCAGGAGGAGCCAGCTGCTGTGGTGTTGGCGGGGGCTGGCACAGGTTCTCTTTCTTCCACCCCAGGTTTTGAATTTGTATCTCCTCCTCTGCCTCAAACTCCGTGAACCTGGGAGAAGGAAAGGCAGGTCCCACTTGAGTAATTGAGGAGGTCCTGAGCCAGCACAGGGCAGCAACTGAGGAGCGAGATATGGAAATGGGCTTTGTGGTGAGCCTGGGCCTACTGAGTTGCAGCGCTGGGAGGGACAAATGTTATGGGAAGCAGCTAAGTGACATGTGGTGTGGTGTGCACTTTCAGACCTGCAACAGGCCTCGTTGACTAAAGCAGGGCCAAGCTGACGCCCTGAAGGCCATGTGGGTCTCGAAGCCAGGCCCATGAGGAGAGCTGTCAGCAGAGGCTGGCCAGCACCTCATTTCTCCTAGTCTATTCCAAGGTCCTGGCCCAGGATTAGGGCCTGAGAGGCTGTGGGTCGTTGAGTGGAAGTGTTGGAATTGAGGCTCGAGGGGCAGGTGGGAGGCTGGGGAGTCCTAGCTAGGAGGTGGTATATTTCCATGTCAGAGTGGACAGCATGGAGTGGTAGAAAAGGCCCTCTCTGGACCTTGGGGTATCTTAGACACCAGCTCTCCATGGCCATGCTCTGAAACAGCATCTCTGGGATGGTGTGTCTCACTTTTGGAACACGGGTTTGAGTGGATCGGGCCAGTTCAGTGCATGAGCCTGAGGGGTCTGTGTGGTGCAGCTGGTGCCATGTGCGCAGTGCCCACGGTCAGAAGACAGCCAGTGATGGTGCTGCTTGTTCTACCTCAGCCTTCCAAATGAAGGCAGGTATCCTCAGCTGAAGCTGTGGGAGGATGTTCTGTGCTTGGGGCAGAGTGAGAAGAAAGCAGCCAGAGACCCTCTACAGCCACGTGGTAGGGGCAACACCCTGGGATGGCAGGGCCCCCGGATGGGCTGAGGCTGAAAACAGGCCTCTTGTCAGCCTGTGAGTTGCCAACTGCTGCGCCCCCCCCCCCCCGGAGGCCTAGCCCCTCTATCCACCCTCCTTCAGCACACGTGGTGTCAGGTGCAGGCATCTTGACTCACTTTTCTGCCATTTCATAGTAGATCATGCGGTCAAAGTTGCTCTTGTGCTGCCATTCCCGCATGGCAATCCGCATGCCATCATCCAGTGGCATGCTGGGCTTCCTCTGGGCCAGCGTGCGCAGCACCGGGCTGTAATTTGGCAGAGTCAGTCACGGGGCAGCAGTGCTGTCCCCACGCCCTGTCCCCTGCCACAGCTCCCCAGCTCACCAAGCTGAGTCAGGCCACCTCCCTGCTCTGCTTCCATCAGACCTGTGGTCTGCCCCTGTCTCATCCTCCTCTGCAGTGGCCACTCTCCGCCCTCCCGGACCCCCTTGCATGTGTGGCACATCAGCAGCCAGGGCTGCATTGGCCTGTGTGTCCTCTGCTTGAGACCTCGATGTCATTGTGCACAATGGCCTGAATGCTGTGTCACAATCCATAAGTGCGATGCCTAGTCCTCAATGTGATGATGGCCTCTTGAGTGGTCTGGGGGTTGCGTGGGTTAGAGGACGTTTTGTATGTGGAGCTCCCTTGATTGGATTGTTGTCCTGAGAGAAAGAGCAAGAGACACCATGACCCCGTGTCTCAGTCCCCTCAGCTCACACAGTGAGGAAGAGGCTTGTCAGGCTGGGAGAGCAGCCTCACTGGGATGTGAATCCTGCCGATGCCTTGTTTTCAGATGTCCATTGTGCAGATGTGAGAGGTGAGCATGTGTGGCTGCACGTGTGTAAGCTGTCGGGGACAGAGAGTGTCCTGGGAGTCAGGGTTCAGCAGCGGTTTCCTGGCCCCGTGACTGGGCCTCGAATCAGTGTGTTGGAGAGGCAGTAGTTGTGGAAGTGAGCCAGCCCAGTGCTGCTGGGGCTCAGGAGCAGAAGAGGGAGCCTGTGAATGGCCTGCGTGTGCCCAGTTACAATCGCAGAACCTTGAAGGTATGGGTTTAGGGACTGGGGGCAAGATGTGCTCTCCCGGGGATGTTGACTATTCAGAGCTGTAGGGGAATGGAGATGGTCATGTGCACAACATTGAGCTCCCTTTCATTTACAGGCCTGATGCAGATGCTGCTGGACAGCCACAGGGGTCAGGCCACACAGGCACATTGGACTGTTGCGTGGAAAGTGGGCCGTGTGTGCCATGATGGTTGGGCATGGACCAAGGGTGTGCATGGTCAGGAGAGGTGAGTGTGGGACTGAGGGACAAAAGCCCTTTGCCCTGAAGTCACAGCCTCCCAGGAGGAAGGCTGCAGGCTTGGCTGTGTGGCACAGAGTGTCCTTCATTTCTGAAGCCATGACATTTGTTTTGGGGCTCTGTTCTGCACAGTGCCTGTGCGTCGTGATGATAGCTCCCAGTGTCTAAGCTTCATTGTCTGCGGTCAGCGTGCATAGCTGGTATCTGCGTAGCCCATCATGTTGAGCCAGTGCCATGTTCATGGGGAAACCAGTCATGCCTTCCTGTGAGGGCTCTGGGATGTGGATGTTAGTAGGAGCCCAGGACAGACAGCAGTGATGGGGGTCGCACGTGGCCCAGTGTGGGCTTGTGACCAGCTTTTTCTATTCCTCGCATTCCCCAGAAGAATGAGGTGAGAGCTCTATACAGGTCTTGTTGGGGTGCTTGCATCCCTTATGAGCCCCTTCTCCTGTGAATTTCCCAGTGGCATTGACCTGTGTGTGTGTGTGTGGCAGGTGTTGCACTGCAAGACTCCATCCCTGAAGGGCTCTCGTGATAGCAGGGCCCTCTCTAACTAGCATCAATGGTGCCATGCAATGTATTGAGTAGCACAGAGAGGCTGTGCTCCTAGAGGATGAAGATCCAGAGTAGAAAACCTCTAAATGGTATCCCAAGCTGCATGGGAAAAACACACTAGAGAGAACCAAGCTGCTCATGCGTGGCCTTGTCTTTTCCCTTCAGGTGCTCCTTGATGCCCCGTGCATGGCATGATCGTGCTCACCCGTTAGTCCTCCCTAGGCAGGGCTCCAGACTGCGTTCTGGGTCCCAGCGCCTGGCACTCACATGAGGAAGCAGGCTAGAGCTTCGGCATCAGGGCTCTGCGGGAGGTGCCTGCGGGCCAGGGTCTTGAAATGCTGCCAGCGCCGGAAGTTGTTGTAGACGCTGGAATCCCCCGATGGAGCTTTGTCCTTGGAAGTAGGCAAGGAGCCCTCTGTGCTTGCTCCCTGTTGTGGAGGCCCGTTGTCTGCGGGGCACAGCGTGGGAGCCATCTGGACAGCCGGTGGTGGAGCTGGAGGTGGTGGAGCTGCTCCCTGTGTGCAGCCCTGCTGGGTGCCCTGAGCCCTGATTATGGTTGGTGCAGGCGCTACTGGCTGCAGGGAAGACTTGGGCAGCAAGAGGGGAGCAGGCTTCTTTGCCTGTGCGCAGAGGGCCCCCTGGACACTCCAGTTGAGAGGGGCTTGATGAAAGACCAAGGTCTGAGAGCGTGGAGGCTCCACCACTTGCCCTTGAGTGCTCAACTGGAGGAGGATGTTGAGGTTGCCAGTCTGGTTTGGGCCACAGGCAGCAGCACCTGCTGTCACCACAGGCATGGTGGGGAGGACAGCAGGCAGCACAAGGCGGCTGCCTGGAGGGCATGCTGCATTCAGGATGGGCGGTGGGCGTGGCCCGCTGGGGGCCTGGGTTGCTGGGCCCTGAGTTGGCTGGGGACAGGGCATGAGAATAAAGGAAGGTGTGGAGGTGCCAGGGTTCAGCGTCATGGCTGGTCTCAGCCCTGGAGCTGCTGTGGAGACAAAGCAAAGGGCTAATGGAGGATGGGCACCCGCAGTGCACAGTGTGGAGGGAGGCTCTGTGTTCCCTGTCAGTCACTGGTTGGGACACTGAGGCCCTCTGGGGGCCTGGGATAGTGGTGGTATGGACATGTCCCTTGGTCAAGCTCAGGTTCTGTTCCTCCCATGGAAAGTATCCCCCAGAGCCTTCCCATCCTTCTGGTCCATCTCGTCAACCTGTCTCCCAGGGGGGACCATGGCTCTGCCTGTCTTGAGGGTCTCCCCAGGGCATCTGTGTGAACACCTGGCCAGCCTCATAGCTGGATCTGGAAGCTTCAATCAGGACTGAGTCCTTGGCAGCTCTGCACCCCCTCAGTACTCAGCACTACTAGGTCAGGGGACTTCTTTAGACAGACAGAGCTTGAGTCCAGGTGATCTAGACGCAGCCTGAAGATTCACAGTAGTGTGCCCTCATCTCTTGCCCAGGCTTCTTGAATGACTACTGCTATGAAGCACTTCTTTATTCCCACTGTCTTTTCTAATAACCTATCCTATATTATATACCTAATGTAATGTATATTGCGTAGATAATAATATAATAGAATCTTGAAATAGACTATTACAATATTCTGTGTAGTAGAAGAAAAGTGAAACAAACACAGGCCCCAGATTTCTCTGCCAACTCGGGGGTAGCCAAGCAGGAGCAGACATGAGCTGGCAGCCATAGGACTAAGCTGACTGGAAGCCATCCTCGTGTAGGATCCATGCAGAGCCTGGTCAACAGCAGCGTGCACAACCACGTCCCCGATGACCAGTACTCTTTGAGGCTACAATGGATGGTAGCCTTCCTACCTGTCTGCTCGGCTCTTTCATTTCAGGAAAGGAACGCAGGGGGTGGGTGGATTGTAGCTGAGTGGGTAAACCCCAGCTTGGGGAAGTGCAGGAAAGGTTATCAGGTCACTGACTGGAGTCAAGTTCCTCTCAACTTTTCCAATCCAGCTTTGTGGTCATGTATCCTATCCAAGAGGCGGCAGGTGCTCTGTGTTCTCAGGATGCTGTCTAAGAGGTGGAAGACGCAGGCAGCGTAGGTATCCTGGCATGCTAGTAGTATTATTTCACCTGCCATAAATGTGGAAGCTCTCAGGCATTAGATCAAGCTGCTCAGTTTCCGTCTAGTTTCTTATGTGTCGTGGCATTGAAGGAACAAATGCAATGGGTGTTTGTTTGTTTGTTTGTTTGTTTCAGTTTTTGTTTTTTATTGGACAAAGAATAAAGGGGAAAGAAAGTACAGCCTGTGTTTCAGTTCTCTCTGTAAAGTCAGCCAGAGCCATGCAGGCTGGTCCTTGAAAAGAGCAGCAAGCTGAGAAGAGTCTACATATTTTGGGCAAGTCTTGAGCTCAGGGCCCACCATGGGATGAGAAGGGAGAGCAGTAGGTGAAGTACTTGAGTTTCAACTTGTGGGAGAAAACATTGGACTGAGTGAGGGAACCCCACGGACTGTGTGGTGGAAGGAAAGGGCTCCACGGTCCTTGTCAAATCCAGATAGCAGCTACCGGGAGTCAGAGAAGCCGTCAGTGAGAGGGAAGGAGGCTGGAGACTCAGGCCTGCAGGGGACGGAGTAACCAGCAGGTCTCCACGTGGGAGAATATTTCTCTGCAGAGAGGGTGAAAGCAGCAACACCATCACTGTGCAGTTTCATGGCTATGTGCCCATATCTCTCACAGCCTCCTAATGTCTAGGACACCCCAGTCACCAGCCTGAGAACCATGTTGAGGTCACACTCTACATATGCCAAGAAAGGACAGGGCTCTAGTGTGCCTGTCCTCTTTCTCCCTCTGCCTCCACAGCAAAGCCCATCGCTCTTGCCTCTACAAAAGCACACTGAAGTGACCTCTGAGTGTGTGTATATGTGTGTGTGTGTGTGTGTCTGGGTTGAGCCAAACTTCAAACTCATCTGTTCTCATCTCTGCCTCTGAAGCAGTGAATTTGTCCCTCAAGCATCACGTTGCAGCTCTAAGGAGCCCTTCTCCTGCCGCCCCCACCCCTTTCAGCAATGTCAGTTCAACATGGGCTTCCAGAGTCTTCTCCCCAGGTAGTGTGAGCTGCTGGGAACCCAGGGCTTTCTCTCTACTCCACTTCAGGCGCACCAACTGTCCCCAGCGGAGATGTCCAATGGGAGCTCCCAAGTCTTGGAGCAGTAGCAGGGAGTGTGTGGTTCAACAGCCACACCCCAACAGACTTACCTCCTTCGGAAGCAGTGCTCACAGGCTTGGACACTCAGCACAGCTGACTGGCAGCCCCCTAATTGGAAAGTTCAAGCTGAGGAGCCAACGCGTGAGATGGCCGCTCAGAGTCCAACTGCAGCACGTTTAAATTTAAAGGTAACTGGAATAGAATGTTGGGGAGGGGTGGGGGAGGGGTGGCAGGAGTGTTCCTGGTGGCTCTGGCAGGGTGGGTAGAACCTCAAGTGCTTTGGAAGTTTTACAGTGGCCACACAAATGGTGTGTCTCTTGAGCAATTTAAACATTGTTGCTGAGATTTCCAGCACTGAGACTGTATTGCTTGTCACCCCTTTCCCAGCTGGTATCAGTAAACCTCCTTTGGCGTTCCCCACTAGTCCTGCTTCCCTGTGCTGGGAGTCTCCTGTGCATACCTCCAACATGTTCAACTCCACATTCAACAGTGTCTGCTCCTTCTGCTCACAGTTCTGTGTGCAAAGTGCGAGAAGGACAGGCTTACTCAGGGGAGGACACGGGAGGTCATCTGAGCAGTTCCGATGGTGCTTGTGCTTTTGCCTGCATGCAGTCTTTCCTGAAGTACTCATTCAAGTACTCATGTCGCTCCGTGCTGGCTACTGCTGGAGCTTTCATTCTGCAGAGGATGTTCCAACTGGAGATCCTCTTGTCAGAAAGGCCATTCCATCATGGACCGTAGCAAAACCTAGAGAAGCACCTGGGCTACCGCTCTCCCATAGGAAGTCTTCTGTCTGGCAGGCCCCAAGACCACCGAGGGGTGAGGCGACATGTTCTTCTTCAGCAGTAACACTGGAGACAAGCTGCTGGTGAGGGATGTCCATTGGTTTGAGAGACGTCACAAGCTTGTGTACTATGGTAGGAAAAGGATGCAGGCAGAGGGGTGTTGCCGACGGTACTTCCACCAGGAAATGACATAGTGACTGGCTAATAGGTATGATGATCTCTTTGGAAGCTCCCGTGAAGTTCAAACCCATGAAGCACAGAGAGCACAGAAAGCTATGTCTCAGGACCAGGTGGTGAGCTGCTGAAAAGCAGGGTGAATGTAACATTTGACTTGCTAGAGTTGTTTGCCAAGAAAGTCCTAGCACAGTTTGATCCAGAGGCAGAGAAGAGAGATTGGAGTGCAGGGCATCACTCTTGCTGCATGCCCAGTGAACAGGCCAGGTTGGGGCCTCAGTTAGCCAAGACTCCTGTCAGGGCTTCCCCCAGGGACACGGTGTGCCATGTGCCTATGGCCTCCCACATGGGCTAGGCAGGCAGAGATGCAGGGGCGATTTCCCACATCTCATGTCTTGTATATCTTTGGTCCTGGGAGTATGTGTGGTTAAATCTGTGCTTTTGATTCCCGGCACTGATTTCCATGGAAGGGTGTGGCCCACAAACTGTTTATGAATTGCCAAAGGTGTGTGGGATATGTAGAGATGGCTCTTCCTCCCAGCAAGCTGCCTGGACCTCCCATTTCCTTCTCCAGAACAAGTCTTTTTTATAGGTGTTCCTTCTCAGTACAAGCATGCAGGCACTGGGTTCCTAGAGCCTTCTTTCTCTAGAGACAAGAAACCCAGCGCCCTTAGAGTGGCCAAGCACTCATTTGTCCACGTGACAAATGTACAACTTTGCGTCTCCAGGATGCCTTGCCTGCCGATGCCTTGCATCCAAGTGGATGCTCTCTTTCTGCAGCACTTGTCTCCACCCGATAGCCTCACTGCAGTGAATCCTGGAGAAGGTTCCTTGTAGTGACGGACACCAGTGTGTTTGGTGTGTATAAGATGAAAGGTTCTGTAGGTATCCATTCTGTCCACTTGTTCTGTTGTCTGGGTGAGTGCTCTTGTTTGCTTGCTGAGTGTGTTAGTTTAGCTGGGTACACTAAGCTTTATGTATGTACCTTCCTACTCATCATTTCCTCCGGTTGAAAGTCTGCCTTAATCATGATGTGGTGTCTTTGTGTTTTAATGCCTTTCACATGGTTGTTTGGGTTATGTGATACTAATGTGGTTATTCCATTTTGTTTCCCTTTCCATTGCTTGTGCTGTCTTTTTCCCTTTTTGGACTTTGCGTTTCTGCCTAGCTTTGTGGGTTGATGAGGGAGGAGAGTTTGTTCGCTCCTAGGCAATCTGGCTGCTGCAGTGTCGCTCTGCTCTCTCCCACTGCTTCCCTGTGTGCACGTGTTGGCAGCTGTCTCTCTGGCACTGATCTGCCTGCAGGTGTCATCCAGGATTCCATGCTGTCTGCTTCTCTTCTGTTCACCCTTGTCTGTCCATCTTAACGTGTCCTGACCCTCTGCCTCCATGTTGGTTTCTGCTTGGAACTCTTCCACCGTGCCTCAGGGTTCTAGTTTCTCTGCAACTTTCAGTGCACTGGCTATGCTCATATTTCTGGTGTGCTTTTGCCGCATGATCGTGATTTGTGTTGACCCGCGTGAGTGAAATGGAGCACATTGTCTCCTGCTTATTTTCCATGTATGTGCATTCTTTGGGGGAAGTGACGGTTGCTGTCAGTTGCCCAGTTGAATGGGATGATGACTCTTCATTTTGCTGTTGAGTTGGCATCGCTTACCTAGTTGGCCATGAGCCCTGTAGTTGACACCCAGTTTGAAATAATGTTTTCTCGTGAATTGTAGTGTCACTGGCGTTGGCACTCTGTCGGTTATATGCTTTATGGTGCAGCAGCCGCTTGCTTGGCTATAGTCTCATTTGCCTCTGTTTGGTTGCTAGTTTGGTGTTTTTTGCCTGTGCTTTTGGTGTTACCTGCACGCAATCATTGTGAAGATTACCATCATGAATCTCTTCGCTCATGATTTCGGGTAGACATTTCATGATTGCAGGTCACGTTTCCATGATTCATCCATTTTGTATCCTGCTTTTCTGCAATTTAACATGTAAAGTGGGAGCAGCAGCAGCTGTTCATGTGAGGCCTTCCTTTGCTACCTGGATTTTGTGGTCGGAGATTGGCCTAAGTCCTGTTTTGTTTGCATCCCCCAGGTATGTGTGTTTTGGTGGTGGGTTTTATATACTTCCCATCCAGGATTAGACACTGCGATGTGTAGAGTTTGAAGGAGAGTGGCAGAGCATGAGGCATGGAGGGGACAAGGGCAGAGGGAGGTCAGGAGGGAGACAGAGCGAGAGAGACGCCAGTGGGTCTTGCATCCACTGGTTCACTCCCCAGACGGCTGCAGCGACTGAGCCCAAACCACATTCAGCATTCTCTGACTGCATCCATCTGTCCAACACAGCTGCAGGGGCTGAAGTAGCAGGCTTAGCTCTGCTGACTGGAAGAAGCAGGACTGGCACCAGCACCCTTGTGGGATACACGTGTTGCAGGTGGTGCGTCCCAATGCTCTGCCACTAGAGCAGCACATCCCACACATTGTGAAACCTTGCATGCTCAGGGTCACCTAATTTACAATACCTTCTAATGTTCTTTTCTGTGTCTGTCTTTGGGGTTAGTCAATAGTGTGCACTTTGCTTTAGGATTCTTGGAGCTCTTGTAGCTGTGCACCTACGAATGCTTGTCGCTTTGATTTCCTTGCACAATATGGCCACACTCTACTTGATTTCAATGAAGATTTCTATGGACAAACATAGGGTAGGTAGCTCTTGGAAGGGTAGCTTAGGACAGCACGTGCTAAGATGTGTGTCAAAAGCATATAGTATAGTGATGTGGGATGGCATGTTGTGTTCCTGTGAAGCAGAATCTATCGAAGTGCATGTTTGTTCAAGTCTTCGGCGGATTGGTGCTGATTTTCTGAGTGTTCTTTTGGTTCTTTTTGTGCATGGTTGAGAACCCAGGGTATGCAAAGAGTCAAAGAAGAACTCGGCCGTGGGGGGCACTGCGCACTGCTGTGTGTCCCTGTGCAGGACAGGCTTTGTGAAGAGAGCAGGAGAAAGAGAAGCATGAAGTGGATGGGAGGAAAGGCCTTGGCTGGCCGCATGTGCAACCAGCAGCTGGGAGTCCTGATCCATGTTTCCTCACTTGTTCAGTGTACTGAAGCCAGAACAGAAGAGAGCATTTTCTAGTTCCGTTTCTTTATTGAAGCAAACAGTGTCCCTCAGAAAAGGTCCCCACCCCACCCTCTAGATCCCTCCACCTGGGAAGCCCACCCCCCTCCACCTGGGAAGCCCACCCCCCTCCCTCCCTGGGCACAATGGGTTTGAACAACAAGAGTGGCGGTGGTGCAAGAGACAAGGATCCATGTCCTTTTGGCTGGCACGTAGTGGGGCAGCTTCCCAGAGGCCACAGGCTCGCGCCTGGCCTCAGTATCGCATCTTTTTGTTTATATCGCCCCAGGAGTCAGCCTTCCTCTTGTGAGCCTGGCAGTGTGGCACAGACTCCAGAGCTGGGGCCTGTTCTGCAGAGGCCTTGGAGCCAGCCCTCGGGCAAGGCTTGTTTAGTCTAGGGCCTGGGTCCGCTAGAAGAGCCTGCTTCTTGCTATTGGTAGCAGGTGGTGGAGGACCAGTGAAGGCCCTTCCAAGATTGGAGGTGGGCTTGTGTGCTCTGCCTGGTTTCCCAGGTGCAGGACAAGGCAGGTCCTCAGCAGAGACCTGGCTCTGGGCAAGTCTCAAGGGCAGCAGATGGTGCTGTGAATCAAGGAAGAAGGCCAGGCTGGGCAGTTCCTCGTCGTCCTCACCAGTCAGATCCACGACTGGTGGTGGCTCCTCCACAGAGCATTGTCCTTGTGAAGCCCTGGCTGCCTTGGGCACCTGTGTGGAAGGGGCTCTGGGAGAAGTGGGCCTAATGTCCCCCAGTAAAGGACATGTCTTGTCCCCAGAGAAGCCAGCATTGTCTTTGTGCATGGACAGGCGGGTGTCTGGGACCACGCATCTCTCAGGCTTCCAGCAAGACATGCTTTGGGCGGAGGTCTCCGCACTGAGCCCAGGGCTGGGAGCACGGTCATCTCTCTGTGTGCCTTGCAGGGCTCTGGAATCCGAAGTACTGGCTTCCAGTAGGGGTGTCGCAGGCCTGGGTTTTTCCCGCATGGTGCCATCCGTCTTCAAGGGCCAGAGGTTCTTGTCCACCACCTGCAGGAGGAAAGAGGCACTGAGTGGCTCTGCAGCTGGTGTCAGAAGGACCATGGGGTCCAGAGCAGTGGCCAGGGGAGGAGGGAGGCAGGCCAGAGTCGCTGGGCTTTCTTTGTAGAAGGAGGCAGCTGCTCTGCTCTGCTGTCATCGTGCTGGGGCTGGTTGCAGTTCTGCACACTCACCTGACCCTGGTTCTCCTGGCTCCTTGCTATATGTGTGTACCTGCACCACACTGGAAGCAGTTCCTTTGCAAGTCCCGCATGGCCAGCATGTCGGGGGAGACAGGCTCTCGGGGCCTACTGTGCTGGAGACCCACTTGCACACAGTTGACCTAGTTGCAGGCCTCGCCCAAATGTAGCTGCTCTTCCACAGCGCCCCTCTTCTGTTTTCCTGGTGCGTATCCCTGCCCTGTCTGCATGCTGCGCCTTGCTGCCCTTCCCTGCTTGAGGTTCCTTCCTCCCTCCCTCCTTCACCTGGTCAGGGTTCAGCCCTTCCTCCTTGTCCTTGTCCAGCTCTTCGGCTAGGGCCACGAGATCCAGCTGTGGATTTGGTGAAAGGAGCTCTTCCAGGAATCGTGGATGGATGATGGTCTCCACCTAGCAGAGAAGGAAGAGGTTTCTCTCATTCTTTCCAGAAGTCACCAAACTATGGGACTTGAAGGAGAAGCAGAAAGCAGTGAGCAGCAGAGCGCCATGCCCAGCTTGGGATGCCCAGTCGGCAGGGCTGCCAGCTACTCACGCACACTGGTACACCCAGGGGTAGTAGCTAGGGAAGTGAGCTTGATCCAGGGGCATGAGATGGTCACGGCCCAGATTGGACAAATCGTAGAGTGGCACAGCCCACCTTGGTGACAAAGTCATCTTGGGAGCACAGCTGGTCAAGGTAACTCAGGAGCTCTGGGTCGGGGCCCAGTCCCTCCTGCTGGGGCTGCAGCATGCCGTCCTCTTCTGGCTGTTCACTGGGCTGGCCCGAGGCGGAGGGCCCCAGCTCCAGCAGTGCATCCATGATGTCCATGTACTCGCTCACGGCCTCTGGAGGGATCTCCTTGGGTGTCCTTTCCCGAGAGGCCTGGTGTCTTTGTGGCAAGGGTTTGTTGGGCAGAGCTTTGGAGCTGTTCTTCTCGCGGGCATGCTCTATGGGAGGAAAGAGGCGAGTGAGGTTCAGGGGCTCGAGCTCCGCATCAGCCACGTTGCAGAGGGCGGTTGTTGGGCATGTGAGCTGGTGGGGCTGGTCCAGCACAAGCTGCCGACGGCACCTGGAGTGGGCTGAGGTGGAACGTGTGAGGCACTCACTGACATGCCCCGTGGTCTGCCGCCAAGCCCATGTCCTCTGCAGAAGGTGAGGATGTGTGTGGTGTCCCTAGACAGAGGCACTGCCGGCGTGGTCAGACAGCTACTACCGAGTTGTGACCCAAGGCTCAGGCAACGTGGGCTGTCAGGGGCACATGCTGAACAAGAAGACACAAGTGCTGCTCTTGCAGGAAAAGGTCCGGAGGATGGGTTAGTCACACCCAGAGAACCTTGTCCTGTGCAGTGTTGTGTGTGGTGGCAGGGGAAGCTCACTGTACCTGGTTGCTGGAGGGCCACAGGGCTTGGGGGCCCAGGAGGAGCCAGCTGCTGTGGTGTTGGCAGGGGCTGGCACAGGTTCTCTTTCTTCCACCCCAGGTTTTGAATTTGTATCTCCTCCTCTGCCTCAAACTCCGTGAACCTGGGAGAAGGAAAGGCAGGTCCCACTTGAGTGATCGAGGAGGTCCTGAGCCAGCACAGGGCAGCAACTGAGGAGCGAGATATGGAAATGGGCTTTGTGGTGAGCCTGGGCCTACTGAGTTGCAGCGCTGGGAGGGACAAATGTTATGGGAAGCAGCTAAGTGACATGTGGTGTGGTGTGCACTTTCAGACCTGCAACAGGCCTCGTTGACTAAAGCAGGACCAAGCTGACGCCCTGAAGGCCATGTGGGTCTCGAAGCCAGGCCCATGAGGAGAGCTGTCAGCAGAGGCTGGCCAGCACCTCATTTCTCCTAGTCTATTCCAAGGTCCTGGCCCAGGATTAGGGCCTGAGAGGCTGTGGGTCGTTGAGTGGAAGTGTTGGAATTGAGGCTCGAGGGGCAGGTGGGAGGCTGGGGAGTCCTAGCTAGGAGGTGGTATATTTCCATGTCAGAGTGGACAGCATGGAGTAGTGGAAAAGGCCCTCTCTGGACCTTGGGGTATCTTAGACACCAGCTCTCCATGGCCATGCTCTGAAACAGCATCTCTGGGATGGTGTGTCTCACTTTTGGAACATGGGTTTGAGTGGATCGGGCCAGTTCAGTGCATGAGCCTGAGGGGTCTGTGTGGTGCAGCTGGTGCCATGTGCGCAGTGCCCACGGTCAGAAGACAGCCAGTGATGGTGCTGCTTGTTCTACCTCAGCCTTCCAAATGAAGGCAGGTATCCTCAGCTGAAGCTGTGGGAGGATGTTCTGTGCTTGGGGCAGAGTGAGAAGAAAGCAGCCAGAGACCCTCCACAGCCACGTGGTAGGGGCAACACCCTAGGATGGCAGGGCCCCCGGATGGGCTGAGGCCGGAAACAGGCCTCTTGTCAGCCTGTGAGTTGCCAAGTGCGCCCCCCCACCCGAGGCCTAGCCTCTCTATCCACCCTCCTTCAGCACACGTGGTGTCAGGTGCAGGCATCTTGACTCACTTTTCTGCCATTTCATAGTAGATCATGCGGTCAAAGTTGCTCTTGTGCTGCCATTCCCGCATGGCAATCCGCATGCCATCATCCAGTGGCATGCTGGGCTTCCTCTGGGCCAGCGTGCGCAGCACCGGGCTGTAATTTGGCAGAGTCAGTCACGGGGCAGCAGTGCTGTCCCCACGCCCTGTCCCCTGCCACAGCTCCCCAGCTCACCAAGCTGAGTCAGGCCACCTCCCTGCTCTGCTTCCATCAGACCTGTGGTCTGCCCCTGTCTCATCCTCCTCTGCAGTGGCCACTCTCCACCCTCCCGGACCCCCTTGCATGTGTGGCACATCAGCAGCCAGGGCTGCATTGGCCTGTGTGTCCTCTGCTTGAGACCTCGATGTCATTGTGCACAATGGCCTGAATGCTGTGTCACAATCCATAAGTGCGATGCCTAGTCCTCAATGTGATGATGGCCTCTTGAGTGGTTTGGGGGTTGCGTGGGTTAGAGGACGTTTTGTATGTGGAGCTCCCTTGATTGGATTGTTGTCCTGAGAGAAAGAGCAAGAGACACCATGACCCCGTGTCTCAGTCCCCTCAGCTCACACAGTGAGGAAGAGGCTTGTCAGGCTGGGAGAGCAGCCTCACTGGGATGTGAATCCTGCCGATGCCTTGTTTTCAGATGTCCATTGTGCAGATGTGAGAGGTGAGCATGTGTGGCTGCACGTGCGTAAGCTGTCGGGGACAGAGAGTGTCCTGGGAGTCAGGGTTCAGCAGCGGTTTCCTGGCCCCGTGACTGGGCCTCGAATCAGTGTGTTGGAGAGGCAGCAGTTGTGGACGTGAGCCAGCCCAGTGCTGCTGGGGCTCAGGAGCAGAAGAGGGAGCCTGTGAATGGCCTGCGTGTGCCCAGTTACAATCGCAGAACCTTGAAGGTATGGGTTTAGGGACTGGGGGCAAGATGTGCTCTCCCGGGGATGTTGACTATTCAGAGCTGTAGGGGAATGGAGATGGTCATGTGCACAACATTGAGCTCCCTTTCATTTACAGGCCTGATGCAGATGCTGCTGGACAGCCACAGGGGTCAGGCCACACAGGCACATTGGACTGTTGCGTGGAAAGTGGGCCGTGTGTGCCATGATGGTTGGGCATGGACCAAGGGTGTGCATGGTCAGGAGAGGTGAGTGTGGGACTGAGGAACAAAAGCCCTTTGCCCTGAAGTCACAGCCTCCCAGGAGGAAGGCTGCAGGCTTGGCTGTGTGGCACAGAGTGTCCTTCATTTCTGAAGCCATGACATTTGTTTTGGGGCTCTGTTCTGCACAGTGCCTGTGCGTCGTGATGATAGCTCCCAGTGTCTAAGCTTCATTGTCTGCGGTCAGCGTGCATAGCTGGTATCTGCGTAGCCCATCATGTTGAGCCAGTGCCATGTTCATGGGGAAACCAGTCATGCCTTCCTGTGTGAGGGCTCTGGGATGTGGATGTTAGTAGGAGCCCAGGACAGACAGCAGTGATGGGGGTCGCACGTGGCCCAGTGTGGGCTTGTGACCAGCTTTTTCTATTCCTCGCATTCCCCAGAAGAATGAGGTGAGAGCTCTATACAGGTCTTGTTGGGGTGCTTGCATCCCTTATGAGCCCCTTCTCCTGTGAATTTCCCAATGGCATTGACCTGTGTGTGTGTGTGTGGCAGGTGTTGCACTGCAAGACTCCATCCCTGAAGGGCTCTCGTGATAGCAGGGCCCTCTCTAACTAGCATCAATGGTGCCATGCAATGTATTGAGTAGCACAGAGAGGCTGTGCTCCTAGAGGATGAAGATCCAGAGTAGAAAACCTCTAAATGGTATCCCAAGCTGCATGGGAAAAACACACTAGAGAGAACCAAGCTGCTCATGCGTGGCCTTGTCTTTGCCCTTCAGGTGCTCCTTGATGCCCCGTGCATGGCATGACCGTGCCTACCCATTAGTCCTCCCTAGGCAGGGCTCCAGACTGCGTTCTGGGTCCCAGCGCCTGGCACTCACATGAGGAAGCAGGCTAGAGCTTCGGCATCAGGGCTCTGCGGGAGGTGCCTGCGGGCCAGGGTCTTGAAATGCTGCCAGCGCCGGAAGTTGTTGTAGACGCTGGAATCCCCCGATGGAGCTTTGTCCTTGGAAGTAGGCAAGGAGCCCTCTGTGCTTGCTCCCTGTTGTGGAGGCCCGTTGTCTGCGGGGCACAGCGTGGGAGCCATCTGGACAGCCGGTGGTGGAGCTGGAGGTGGTGGAGCTGCTCCCTGTGTGCAGCCCTGCTGGGTGCCCTGAGCCCTGATTATGGTTGGTGCAGGCGCTACTGGCTGCAGGGAAGACTTGGGCAGCAAGAGGGGAGCAGGCTTCTTTGCCTGTGCGCAGAGGGCCCCCTGGACACTCCAGTTGAGAGGGGCTTGATGAAAGACCAAGGTCTGAGAGCGTGGAGGCTCCACCACTTGCCCTTGAGTGCTCAACTGGAGGAGGATGTTGAGGTTGCCAGTCTGGTTTGGGCCACAGGCAGCAGTACCTGCTGTCACCACAGGCATGGTGGGGAGGACAGCAGGCAGCACAAGGCGGCTGCCTGGAGGGCATGCTGCATTCAGGATGGGCGGTGGGCGTGGCCCGCTGGGGGCCTGGGTTGCTGGGCCCTGAGTTGGCTGGGGACAGGGCATGAGAATAAAGGAAGGTGTGGAGGTGCCAGGGTTCAGCGTCATGGCTGGTCTCAGCCCTGGAGCTGCTGTGGAGACAAAGCAAAGGGCTAATGGAGGATGGGCACCCGCAGTGCACAGTGTGGAGGGAGGCTCTGTGTTCCCTGTCAGTCACTGGTGGGACACTGAGGCCCTCTGGGGGCCTGGGATAGTGGTGGTATGGACATGTCCCTTGGTCAAGCTCAGGTTCTGTTCCTCCCATGGAAAGTATCCCCCAGAGCCTTCCCATCCTTCTGGTCCATCTCGTCAACCTGTCTCCCGGGGGGACCATGGCTCTGCCTGTCTTGAGGGTCTCCCCAGGGCATCTGTGTGAACACCTGGCCAGCCTCATAGCTGGATCTGGAAGCTTCAATCAGGACTGAGTCCTTGGCAGCTCTGCACCCCCTCAGTACTCAGCACTACTAGGTCAGGGGACTTCTTTAGACAGACAGAGCTTGAGTCCAGATGATCTAGACGCAGCCTGAAGATTCACAGTAGTGTGCCCTCATCTCTTGCCCAGGCTTCTTGAATGACTACTGCTATGAAGCACTTCTTTATTCTTAACCACTGTCTTTTCTAATAACCTATCCTATATTATATACCTAATGTAATGTATATTGCGTAGATAATAATATAATAGAATCTTGAAATAGACTATTACAATATTCTGTGTAGTAGAAGAAAAGTGAAACAAACACAGGCCCCAGATTTCTCTGCCAACTCGGGGGTAGCCAAGCAGGAGCAGACATGAGCTGGCAGCCATAGGACTAAGCTGACTGGAAGCCATCCTCGTGTAGGATCCATGCAGAGCCTGGTCAACAGCAGCGTGCACAACCACGTCCCCGATGACCAGTACTCTTTGAGGCTACAATGGATGGTAGCCTTCCTACCTGTCTGCTCGGCTCTTTCATTTCAGGAAAGGAACGCAGGGGGTGGGTGGATTGTAGCTGAGTGGGTAAACCCCAGCTTGGGGAAGTGCAGGAAAGGTTATCAGGTCACTGACTGGAGTCAAGTTCCTCTCAACTTTTCCAATCCAGCTTTGTGGTCATGTCTCCTATCCAAGAGGCGGCAGGTGCTCTGTGTTCTCAGGATGCTGTCTAAGAGGTGGAAGACGCAGGCAGCGTAGGTATCCTGGCATGCTAGTAGTATTATTTCACCTGCCGTAAATGTGGAAGCTCTCAGGCATTAGATCAAGCTGCTCAGTTTCCGTCTAGTTTCTTATGTGTCGTGGCATTGAAGGAACAAATGCAATGGGTGTTTGTTTGTTTGTTTGTTTGTTTCAGTTTTTGTTTTTTATTGGACAAAGAATAAAGGGGAAAGAAAGTACAGCCTGTGTTTCAGTTCTCTCTGTAAAGTCAGCCAGAGCCATGCAGGCTGGTCCTTGAAAAGAGCAGCAAGCTGAGAAGAGTCTACATATTTTGGGCAAGTCTTGAGCTCAGGGCCCACCATGGGATGAGAAGGGAGAGCAGTAGGTGAAGTACTTGAGTTTCAACTTGTGGGAGAAAACATTGGACTGAGTGAGGGAACCCCACGGACTGTGTGGTGGAAGGAAAGGGCACCACGGTCCTTGTCAAATCCAGATAGCAGCTACCGGGAGTCAGAGAAGCCGTCAGTGAGAGGGAAGGAGGCTGGAGACTCAGGCCTGCAGGGGACGGAGTAACCAGCAGGTCTCCACGTGGGAGAATATTTCTCTGCAGAGAGGGTGAAAGCAGCAACACCATCACTGTGCAGTTTCATGGCTATGTGCCCATATCTCTCACAGCCTCCTAATGTCTAGGACACCCCAGTCACCAGCCTGAGAACCATGTTGAGGTCACACTCTACATATGCCAAGAAAGGACAGGGCTCTAGTGTGCCTGTCCTCTTTCTCTCTCTGCCTCCACAGCAAAGCCCATCGCTCTTGCCTCTACAAAAGCACACTGAAGTGACCTCTGTGTGTGTGAGTATGTGTGTGTGTGTGTGTGTCTGGGTTGAGCCAAACTTCAAACTCATCTGTTCTCATCTCTGCCTCTGAAGCAGTGAATTTCTCCCTCAAGCATCACATTGCAGCTCTAAGGAGCCCTTCTCCTGCCGCCCCCACCCCTTTCAGCAATGTCAGTTCAACATGGGCTTCCAGAGTCTTCTCCCCAGGTAGTGTGAGCTGCTGGGAACCCAGGGCTTTCTCTCTACTCCACTTCAGGCGCACCAACTGTCCCCAGCGGAGATGTCCAATGGGAGCTCCCAAGTCTTGGAGCAGTAGCAGGGAGTGTGTGGTTCAACAGCCACACCCCAACAGACTTACCTCCTTCGGAAGCAGTGCTCACAGGCTTGGACACTCAGCACAGCTGACTGGCAGCCCCCTAATTGGAAAGTTCAAGCTGAGGAGCCAACGCGTGAGATGGCCGCTCAGAGTCCAACTGCAGCACGTTTAAATTTAAAGGTAACTGGAATAGAATGTTGGGGAGGGGTGGGGGAGGGGTGGCAGGAGTGTTCCTGGTGGCTCTGGCAGGGTGGGTAGAACCTCAAGTGCTTTGGAAGTTTTACAGTGGCCACACAAATGGTGTGTCTCTTGAGCAATTTAAACATTGTTGCTGAGATTTCCAGCACTGAGACTGTATTGCTTGTCACCCCTTTCCCAGCTGGTATCAGTAAACCTCCTTTGGCGTTCCCCACTAGTCCTGCTTCCCTGTGCTGGGAGTCTCCTGTGCATACCTCCAACATGTTCAACTCCACATTCAACAGTGTCTGCTCCTTCTGCTCACAGTTCTGTGTGCAAAGTGCGAGAAGGACAGGCTTACTCAGGGGAGGACACGGGAGGTCATCTGAGCAGTTCCGATGGTGCTTGTGCTTTTGCCTGCATGCAGTCTTTCCTGAAGTACTCATTCAAGTACTCATGTCGCTCCGTGCTGGCTACTGCTGGAGCTTTCATTCTGCAGAGGATGTTCCAACTGGAGATCCTCTTGTCAGAAAGGCCATTCCATCATGGACCGTAGCAAAACCTAGAGAAGCACCTGGGCTACCGCTCTCCCATAGGAAGTCTTCTGTCTGGCAGGCCCCAAGACCACCGAGGGGTGAGGCGACATGTTCTTCTTCAGCAGTAACACTGGAGACAAGCTGCTGGTGAGGGATGTCCATTGGTTTGAGAGACGTCACAAGCTTGTGTACTATGGTAGGAAAAGGATGCAGGCAGAGGGGTGTTGCCGACGGTACTTCCACCAGGAAATGACATAGTGACTGGCTAATAGGTATGATGATCTCTTTGGAAGCTCCCGTGAAGTTCAAACCCATGAAGCACAGAGAGCACAGAAAGCTATGTCTCAGGACCAGGTGGTGAGCTGCTGAAAAGCAGGGTGAATGTAACATTTGACTTGCTAGAGTTGTTTGCCAAGAAAGTCCTAGCACAGTTTGATCCAGAGGCAGAGAAGAGAGATTGGAGTGCAGGGCATCACTCTTGCTGCATGCCCAGTGAACAGGCCAGGTTGGGGCCTCAGTTAGCCAAGACTCCTGTCAGGGCTTCCCCCAGGGACACGGTGTGCCATGTGCCTATGGCCTCCCACATGGGCTAGGCAGGCAGAGATGCAGGGGCGATTTCCCACATCTCATGTCTTGTATATCTTTGGTCCTGGGAGTATGTGTGGTTAAATCTGTGCTTTTGATTCCCGGCACTGATTTCCATGGAAGGGTGTGGCCCACAAACTGTTTATGAATTGCCAAAGGTGTGTGGGATATGTAGAGATGGCTCTTCCTCCCAGCAAGCTGCCTGGACCTCCCATTTCCTTCTCCAGAACAAGTCTTTTTTATAGGTGTTCCTTCTCAGTACAAGCATGCAGGCACTGGGTTCCTAGAGCCTTCTTTCTCTAGAGACAAGAAACCCAGCGCCCTTAGAGTGGCCAAGCACTCATTTGTCCACGTGACAAATGTACAACTCTGCGTCTCCAGGATGCCTTGCCTCCCGATGCCTTGCATCCAAGTGGATGCTTTCTTTCTGCAGCACTTGTCTCCACCCGATAGCCTCACTGCAGTGAATCCTGGAGAAGGTTCCTTGTAGTGACGGACACCAGTGTGTTTGGTGTGTATAAGATGAAAGGTTCTGTAGGTATCCATTCTGTCCACTTGTTCTGTTGTCTGGGTGAGTGCTCTTGTTTGCTTGCTGAGTGTGTTAGTTTAGCTGGGTACACTAAGCTTTATGTATGTACCTTCCTACTCATCATTTCCTCCGGTTGAAAGTCTGCCTTAATCATGATGTGGTGTCTTTGTGTTTTAATGCCTTTCACATGGTTGTTTGGGTTATGTGATACTAATGTGGTTATTCCATTTTGTTTCCCTTTCCATTGCTTGTGCTGTCTTTTTCCCTTTTTGGACTTTGCGTTTCTGCCTAGCTTTGTGGGTTGATGAGGGAGGAGAGTTTGTTCGCTCCTAGGCAATCTGGCTGCTGCAGTGTCGCTCTGCTCTCTCCCACTGCTTCCCTGTGTGCACGTGTTGGCAGCTGTCTCTCTGGCACTGATCTGCCTGCAGGTGTCATCCAGGATTCCATGCTGTCTGCTTCTCTTCTGTTCACCCTTGTCTGTCCATCTTAACGTGTCCTGACCCTCTGCCTCCATGTTGGTTTCTGCTTGGAACTCTTCCACCGTGCCTCACGGTTCTAGTTTCTCTGCAACTTTCAGTGCACTGGCTATGCTCATATTTCTGGTGTGCTTTTGCCGCATGATCGTGATTTGTGTTGACCCGCGTGAGTGAAATGGAGCACATTGTCTCCTGCTTATTTTCCATGTATGTGCATTCTTTGGGGGAAGTGACGGTTGCTGTCAGTTGCCCAGTTGAATGGGATGATGACTCTTCATTTTGCTGTTGAGTTGGCATCGCTTACCTAGTTGGCCATGAGCCCTGTAGTTGACACCCAGTTTGAAATAATGTTTTCTCGTGAATTGTAGTGTCACTGGCGTTGGCACTCTGTCGGTTATATGCTTTATGGTGCAGCAGCCGCTTGCTTGGCTATAGTCTCATTTGCCTCTGTTTGGTTGCTAGTTTGGTGTTTTTTGCCTGTGCTTTTGGTGTTACCTGCACGCAATCATTGTGAAGATTACCATCATGAATCTCTTCGCTCATGATTTCGGGTAGACATTTCATGATTGCAGGTCACGTTTCCATGATTCATCCATTTTGTATCCTGCTTTTCTGCAATTTAACATGTAAAGTGGGAGCAGCAGCAGCTGTTCATGTGAGGCCTTCCTTTGCTACCTGGATTTTGTGGTCGGAGATTGGCCTAAGTCCTGTTTTGTTTGCATCCCCCAGGTATGTGTGTTTTGGTGGTGGGTTTTATATACTTCCCATCCAGGATTAGACACTGCGATGTGTAGAGTTTGAAGGAGAGTGGCAGAGCATGAGGCATGGAGGGGACAAGGGCAGAGGGAGGTCAGGAGGGAGACAGAGCGAGAGAGACGCCAGTGGGTCTTGCATCCACTGGTTCACTCCCCAGACGGCTGCAGCGACTGAGCCCAAACCACATTCAGCATTCTCTGACTGCATCCATCTGTCCAACACAGCTGCAGGGGCTGAAGTAGCAGGCTTAGCTCTGCTGACTGGAAGAAGCAGGACTGGCGCCAGCACCCTTGTGGGATACACGTGTTGCAGGTGGTGCGTCCCAATGCTCTGCCACTAGAGCAGCACATCCCACACATTGTGAAACCTTGCATGCTCAGGGTCACCTAATTTACAATACCTTCTAATGTTCTTTTCTGTGTCTGTCTTTGGGGTTAGTCAATAGTGTGCACTTTGCTTTAGGATTCTTGGAGCTCTTGTAGCTGTGCACCTACGAATGCTTGTCGCTTTGATTTCCTTGCACAATATGGCCACACTCTACTTGATTTCAATGAAGATTTCTATGGACAAACATAGGGTAGGTAGCTCTTGGAAGGGTAGCTTAGGACAGCACGTGCTAAGATGTGTGTCAAAAGCATATAGTATAGTGATGTGGGATGGCATGTTGTGTTCCTGTGAAGCAGAATCTATCGAAGTGCATGTTTGTTCAAGTCTTCAGCGGATTGGTGCTGATTTTCTGAGTGTTCTTTTGGTTCTTTTTGTGCATGGTTGAGAACCCAGGGTATGCAAAGAGTCAAAGAAGAACTCGGCCGTGGGGGGCACTGCGCACTGCTGTGTGTCCCTGTGCAGGACAGGTTTTGTGAAGAGAGCAGGAGAAAGAGAAGCATGAAGTGGAGGGGAGGGAAGGCCTTGGCTGGCCGCATGTGCAACCAGCAGCTGGGAGTCCTGATCCATGTTTCCTCACTTGTTCAGTGTACTGAAGCCAGAACAGAAGAGAGCATTTTCTAGTTCCGTTTCTTTATTGAAGCAAACAGTGTCCCTCAGAAAAGGTCCCCACCCCACCCTCTAGATCCCTCCACCTGGGAAGCCCACCCCCCTCCACCTGGGAAGCCCACCCCCCTCCCTCCCTGGGCACAATGGGTTTGAACAACAAGAGTGGCGGTGGTGCAAGAGACAAGGATCCATGTCCTTTTGGCTGGCACGTAGTGGGGCAGCTTCCCAGAGGCCACAGGCTCGCGCCTGGCCTCAGTATCGCATCTTTTTGTTTATATCGCCCCAGGAGTCAGCCTTCCTCTTGTGAGCCTGGCAGTGTGGCACAGACTCCAGAGCTGGGGCCTGTTCTGCAGAGGCCTTGGAGCCAGCCCTCGGGCAAGGCTTGTTTAGTCTAGGGCCTGGGTCCGCTAGAAGAGCCTGCTTCTTGCTATTGGTAGCAGGTGGTGGAGGACCAGTGAAGGCCCTTCCAAGATTGGAGGTGGGCTTGTGTGCTCTGCCTGGTTTCCCAGGTGCAGGACAAGGCAGGTCCTCAGCAGAGACCTGGCTCTGGGCAAGTCTCAAGGGCAGCAGATGGTGCTGTGAATCAAGGAAGAAGGCCAGGCTGGGCAGTTCCTCGTCGTCCTCACCAGTCAGATCCACGACTGGTGGTGGCTCCTCCACAGAGCATTGTCCTTGTGAAGCCCTGGCTGCCTTGGGCACCTGTGTGGAAGGGGCTCTGGGAGAAGTGGGCCTAATGTCCCCCAGTAAAGGACATGTCTTGTCCCCAGAGAAGCCAGCATTGTCTTTGTGCATGGACAGGCGGGTGTCTGGGACCACGCATCTCTCAGGCTTCCAGCAAGACATGCTTTGGGCGGAGGTCTCCGCACTGAGCCCAGGGCTGGGAGCACGGTCATCTCTCTGTGTGCCTTGCAGGGCTCTGGAATCCGAAGTACTGGCTTCCAGTAGGGGTGTCGCAGGCCTGGGTTTTTCCCGCATGGTGCCATCCGTCTTCAAGGGCCAGAGGTTCTTGTCCACCACCTGCAGGAGGAAAGAGGCACTGAGTGGCTCTGCAGCTGGTGTCAGAAGGACCATGGGGTCCAGAGCAGTGGCCAGGGGAGGAGGGAGGCAGGCCAGAGTCGCTGGGCTTTCTTTGTAGAAGGAGGCAGCTGCTCTGCTGTCATCGTGCTGGGGCTGGTTGCAGTGCAGTTCTGCACACTCACCTGACCCTGGTTCTCCTGGCTCCTTGCTATATGTGTGTACCTGCACCACACTGGAAGCAGTTCCTTTGCAAGTCCCGCATGGCCAGCATGTCGGGGGAGACAGGCTCTCGGGGCCTACTGTGCTGGAGACCCACTTGCACACAGTTGACCTAGTTGCAGGCCTCGCCCAAATGTAGCTGCTCTTCCACAGCGCCCCTCTTCTGTTTTCCTGGTGCGTATCCCTGCCCTGTCTGCATGCTGCGCCTTGCTGCCCTTCCCTGCTTGAGGTTCCTTCCTCCCTCCCTCCTTCACCTGGTCAGGGTTCAGCCCTTCCTCCTTGTCCTTGTCCAGCTCTTCGGCTAGGGCCACGAGATCCAGCTGTGGATTTGGTGAAAGGAGCTCTTCCAGGAATCGCGGATGGATGATGGTCTCCACCTAGCAGAGAAGGAAGAGGTTTCTCTCATTCTTTCCAGAAGTCACCAAACTATGGGACTTGAAGGAGAAGCAGAAAGCAGTGAGCAGCAGAGCGCCATGCCCAGCTTGGGATGCCCAGTCGGCAGGGCTGCCAGCTACTCACGCACACTGGTACACCCAGGGGTAGTAGCTAGGGAAGTGAGCTTGATCCAGGGGCATGAGATGGTCACGGCCCAGATTGGACAAATCGTAGAGTGGCACAGCCCACCTTGGTGACAAAGTCATCTTGGGAGCACAGCTGGTCAAGGTAACTCAGGAGCTCTGGGTCGGGGCCCAGTCCCTCCTGCTGGGGCTGCAGCATGCCGTCCTCTTCTGGCTGTTCACTGGGCTGGCCCGAGGCGGAGGGCCCCAGCTCCAGCAGTGCATCCATGATGTCCATGTACTCGCTCACGGCCTCTGGAGGGATCTCCTTGGGTGTCCTTTCCCGAGAGGCCTGGTGTCTTTGTGGCAAGGGTTTGTTGGGCAGAGCTTTGGAGCTGTTCTTCTCGCGGGCATGCTCTATGGGAGGAAAGAGGCGAGTGAGGTTCAGGGGCTCGAGCTCCGCATCAGCCACGTTGCAGAGGGCGGTTGTTGGGCATGTGAGCTGGTGGGGCTGGTCCAGCACAAGCTGCCGACGGCACCTGGAGTGGGCTGAGGTGGAACGTGTGAGGCACTCACTGACATGCCCCGTGGTCTGCCGCCAAGCCCATGTCCTCTGCAGAAGGTGAGGATGTGTGTGGTGTCCCTAGACAGAGGCACTGCCGGCGTGGTCAGACAGCTACTACCGAGTTGTGACCCAAGGCTCAGGCAACGTGGGCTGTCAGGGGCACATGCTGAACAAGAAGACACAAGTGCTGCTCTTGCAGGAAAAGGTCCGGAGGATGGGTTAGTCACACCCAGAGAACCTTGTCCTGTGCAGTGTTGTGTGTGGTGGCAGGGGAAGCTCACTGTACCTGGTTGCTGGAGGGCCACAGGGCTTGGGGGCCCAGGAGGAGCCAGCTGCTGTGGTGTTGGCAGGGGCTGGCACAGGTTCTCTTTCTTCCACCCCAGGTTTTGAATTTGTATCTCCTCCTCTGCCTCAAACTCCGTGAACCTGGGAGAAGGAAAGGCAGGTCCCACTTGAGTGATCGAGGAGGCCCTGAGCCAGCACAGGGCAGCAACTGAGGAGCGAGATATGGAAATGGGCTTTGTGGTGAGCCTGGGCCTACTGAGTTGCAGCGCTGGGAGGGACAAATGTTATGGGAAGCAGCTAAGTGACATGTGGTGTGGTGTGCACTTTCAGACCTGCAACAGGCCTCGTTGACTAAAGCAGGACCAAGCTGACGCCCTGAAGGCCATGTGGGTCTCGAAGCCAGGCCCATGAGGAGAGCTGTCAGCAGAGGCTGGCCAGCACCTCATTTCTCCTAGTCTATTCCAAGGTCCTGGCCCAGGATTAGGGCCTGAGAGGCTGTGGGTCGTTGAGTGGAAGTGTTGGAATTGAGGCTCGAGGGGCAGGTGGGAGGCTGGGGAGTCCTAGCTAGGAGGTGGTATATTTCCATGTCACAGTGGACAGCATGGAGTGGTGGAAAAGGCCCTCTCTGGGCCTTGGGGTATCTTAGACACCAGCTCTCCATGGCCATGCTCTGAAACAGCATCTCTGGGATGGTGTGTCTCACTTTTGGAACATGGGTTTGAGTGGATCGGGCCAGTTCAGTGCATGAGCCTGAGGGGTCTGTGTGGTGCAGCTGGTGCCATGTGCGCAGTGCCCACGGTCAGAAGACAGCCAGTGATGGTGCTGCTTGTTCTACCTCAGCCTTCCAAATGAAGGCAGGTATCCTCAGCTGAAGCTGTGGGAGGATGTTCTGTGCTTGGGGCAGAGTGAGAAGAAAGCAGCCAGAGACCCTCCACAGCCACGTGGTAGGGGCAACACCCTGGGATGGCAGGGCCCCCGGATGGGCTGAGGCCGGAAACAGGCCTCTTGTCAGCCTGTGAGTTGCCAAGTGCGCCCCCCCCACCCGAGGCCTAGCCTCTCTATCCACCCTCCTTCAGCACACGTGGTGTCAGGTGCAGGCATCTTGACTCACTTTTCTGCCATTTCATAGTAGATCATGCGGTCAAAGTTGCTCTTGTGCTGCCATTCCCGCATGGCAATCCGCATGCCATCATCCAGTGGCATGCTGGGCT